ATTATCCTCCCATCTACGTCTAGGTCTCCCCAGCGGTCTCTTCCCCTCAGGCTTCCCAAATAGTGGACCCAACCAACCAGATGTCTTAGGGAACCCGAAGGTTCATCACCGAATTAACCAAAGCCCTCCACCGGACCCTGTCCTGGCCCAACAAAATCCAGTCTCCTTCAACTCCTATCTCCCATAGATCCCGCCTGAGATTATCCTCCCATCTACGTCTAGGTCTCCCCAGCGGTCTCTTGTCCTCTGGCTCTGTACGAACAGCCCCTTACCGCAATACTTATTGAAGAAGCTCACCAGTGCGTTGTGTCTGCTGGCTGATCGAGATAATTTTATTGTCAAATTATTTGGTAGAAGGGCCACTAAGAACGCTTAACCTAACTTAGTGCTGTTACACAGTCATTTGGCTGCAAACATTTCGTCATTCTGACGCCCATGAACCGATCTGAACTAAATGAGAAAATTAAACTGCGTGGTGCAGTTGTGTAATCACGGTGACATGCGCACTGCTGACCTCTGTTATCTACACGAGGAAGTAAATGTACTTTTACCAGATTACTTACATTACAGCGTTCGTTGACTATGGCGCCACGGTACATCCAGCCTTACCATCCGATTAGAACATTTTCCCTCGACACGAGACTTTTGTGCGTGGTTAAGAAGAGAATTATGAAAAATAAAGCGATCTTGGGAGAAATGTGAACTGAGTGGTCGCATTTGTGTGATGAGAAGCCTCGCGTTTCAACTATTATCTTTCGTCTATTCTGATCAAATTAAAAAGAGTACGTGGTTCGTGTGAAATGTATCTTCGCACATGAAAAAGTTGATGTTCCCCATAAAACGTTTGTATCCATGAGAGACTAGCATAAAGTGACAGAGGCTGTTGTAATGATAGCCTATGTTACTGGTAAATATTTTACACCGATGATTTTAAATTTTGCGCAATTTGGTTTTGTCAAGTTGGTACTCAACACCAGTGAAAGATGGCGTATTCAGAAAAAGAGAGCGGTTTTCAAGCTTTCCTGTGCTTACTTGCAATTACTCGATTTATTATGAATAAATAATGTTTCTCTGTATGTTTTGAACTTGGTCAGTTGAATACTTTATTTTTATTTCTTTAGATAGTATAATTGCGTCATATTGTGAATCAAATATTAAATTAATTATTCGGTTTGGTCCGTCTAATCACAATTATATTTAAAATTTACTAATAAGATAATTAAAATATAATTTTATGTTCCACATCGAATAATCGATTTACATTTGGAACATTTTTACAACATGTTTCGGTTTCATCGAGCTACACAATGAAATTGTAATTGAGTTTTAAGTTTGTTGATATAATTTTACACCTGAAGATGGTTCGATGAAACCGAAACATGTTGTAAAAATGTTCCAAATGTAAATCGATTATTCGATGTGGAACATAAAATGATATTTTAATTATCTTATTTGTAAATTTTAAATTTTAAATTTTAAATATAATTGTGATTAGACGGACAAAACCGAATAATTAATTTTATTTATTTCTTAATAGAAACTTGTTCTGTCTACTGTTTGAATTGCTCTGATTCTTATTTTACTCCTCTGTGCCTCTGATATAATGTTAAATCGTGATAAAATTACATGGGGTCTTGGCCATAAATAAGAAACTGTGGCATTTTGATAATGTTTGTTTTTAAATTAACATAACAAGTCTAATTGCGTTTATAAAATACAGTCATACTCTAAACATTACAGGAAGCATGCAGTAATGCATTCAAAGGTCAATGCTAAAGTGTTTAACAAATATATACGTATTTCGTTTTAGGCTAATCCCCACGAAATATTTTGTATTTTAGAAACAAATATGTCGTAAGGCTACGAGTTGGAATTAGCAGGAATATGACTGTCTTCTGTGTTGTTAGGCCGTGTAATATAAAACCACTCGTTATACGTAACAAAGGATTGGAGATAAATACCTCGTTGTGTATTTTTGTAGATGTGGCTAAAATATTTATTTTACGGCTATGGAAAAAGTATGTACAGAAAGAGTGATGCCCTTCTAGAGATCTCTAGTCTTCTAGGTGAAGTGTCAATTTTTTTTTTACTAAAATTCAGGTGACGTGTAACTTCTGTCTTAGTTCCATCCGCTGTTAATTAGGTCTTTCGAATGTGCAGTAGACTTCGTTTTCGCACCCGATGAGATGGTTAGTTACACTGCTGACAATGGATCCCGAAATGTCCTGAATACCAGAGTTACTTATTGCACCGTGAATTTCATCTGGGGGGGGGGGGTTTGATATTTTTACTCAACCATTCCAGCTTTAAAATGTATACAGTCACGACTCGCACAGCTGTAATACTGACATTTTCAGCAATTATTTATTATTATTATTATTATTATTATTATTATTATTATTTAGTGTTCCGTCTGACGACAGGATCCTTCGATCCTTTTCTCGGACTGGGACCTGTTCATATACATTCTTGGCAGATGATCCAGAAATGGTTTGCCATTGCCTTCTTCTGTGTGTGAATGGGATGCCACGGAGAAACCGGGGAAGCCCCCGGAGGAAAACTCCGTGTTGCCTAGACCACGGCCTTGCCCAACACAAGTTATAAATTCGGGCACCGCCGGGAATCGAACCCGAGACCCCAGGATTACAAGGCCAGCGTTCTAACAGCTAG